AAATAACTGACCAGTAGACACTTTTTCTAAGTATTCATGACATTTTTGCTTTGTACACAACAAGCAATATCAGAAGAATGAATTAGATTTTGGGGACTGGTGCCAACTTAAAAAAGGTGTCACTGTACTGTTTAAAATTATTTCAACAGCACTTTGATACAACTAATACTCACTGTAAACAAGTACAGAGCTATTTTTTATGACCATTTTTAGCTGATAAGTATTCTAGCATCTTCACCATCACAGTGCTATTCTTTGTGTTAGCGGGTTAACACACATACTGCAATAAAATTCTGCAGTGTGGTGTCTTTGTTATCTTTGGTCCACTATACAGCTAATATAATCACTATCTTTATTTTTAAATTATCCTGTTATGTGACCATTTTTATAGGCATTCTCCTTTTAGCATATATTTCTGTAGGGGCATAGATTGTTCTTAGTGTTCTACAATACATACAATTTAGCATATGACAAAATATCTACTTTTTCTATACACTAGGATCCACAATGCCAACCTAACCAGCTTGAAATCATGAAAAAGGCTCTTTAAAAAGTATGGTGTGACACAAGGCATTGTACCAGAGATGCAAAGGAAGCAAGCCTTTTAAATTCACAGATAAAGCAATGGTAGTGCTTTTTGTAACCAAGTTACAACATATGACCTGTTCATTGAACCATCCAAATTTACATTGATCTAAAGACATGTAGATTTGGTCAAATATCAGATGTGTTCTTAATAGCCTTTCCCTCTGGAGCCTAAATGTTGGGTCTTAGAGGAAATGTATTCACAACTGCCAGTAAAGCATATGATGCATCTAAGAACTGAAGTGGCATTGTCAGCTGCATTGGAAAAACTACTATCCGTGTTCTAATGATTCAATCATGCCGATTCTCCTTGTTCACTGCTGTTGTAAGAACCAAATTCACAGAAAGTATAAATAGAAGACATATTCTGTCACTTGTAATTAGCAGCTACGTGAAGAACAGAGATGGCTATCACAAACCAAGTTCTTGCCTCACTCACAACTGTACTTCAGCATTTTAAGGCGTATGTCAGTGCTTGTGCCTCTTTTGTTTTATAAATGTACTGTTTTAGGATCAAAGAAACATGGCAACTAAGTTGACAAACATGAGCGATCAAGATTTAAGTGACACCTCAAAACTTGTGTTTTTCCCCTCGCTTTATCAAATAACACAAATTGGAAGTGTCAGAAGATACAAGGCTGAGGCATAAAAGACAGAGAGAGAGAGAGAGAGAGAAGGAAAGCCCCAGATCTCTTCATAGGGATCTTTGTCAGATGACCAAAGGCAATACTCCTGGATTCTAAAGTAAATCCCATTCAGGCTCACTGGTGTAGGCTAATCAGGAATGGTTAAAATGGGGATTAAATAGCCGAGCTCCCCAAGACGGTCCCGCCTTGAACAGAGGACTGGACTAGATGACCTTACGAGGTCCCTTCCAGCCCTACTTTCCTATGATCCTATGATTCTGCCAGTGGGTTCTTCAGCCAAGATAGTGAAAGAGCCATCAGGAAATGAAAAAGCACAAAATACAACTTTATTTCATTGGTAGCATTAGATATTTTTTCAAAGCCTTCACTTCTGTGACACAATATAGGACATTAGGGTTTCCAGTTGTCATGCATCTTATTCCCCAATGTTTAGTGCTTTCTAGTCAAGCAGTTTAAAATTAATCACAGTTGTTATTTTAATCTGGATTCACCATTAAGAATTCTTGCGGAGCAATTTTCCTTGCAGGCCAATTAAAATCTCCCAGTGGAAGTTTATGATTACGACAAAAGCAACCTGTTTAATGCTTGGCACTGCCTTCATTTACAAGCATTAAACCCATGAGTATAGAGACATGTTAATGCGTCAGATGAAAGCATAGCAAAATTATTTAAGAAAGTCTGTTTTTTAAATCTGTCTTTGGAAAAAATGCTGTTAGGTCTTTATGCATGTGCTTGTGTTGTTGTATGCTTGTTCACTCTCTCTCTGGGTTTTTCTTCACAGTAAGATCTAAGTGCTATGGATCCTCAGTTTATTTTCTGATTATACTCTCTCTGAAATCCAGAACATTTTTTAAACATTTTCACAAATGGAAGGAATTAGGTTTGATCCAAGCTCCACTGATGTCAATAATAAAATAGAGGTTAACAGGAATGAGATCAGACCCTTCATAACAAGCATGCCATGCTTAAATATTAATTCTTTATGTTAAAAGAAATAGTGAATTACAGTTCTGAGGCCAAATGTCAACCTAACAAATAAATACGTAACAAATAAACAAATAAGCAAGAATTGAACATGAAGATCAACTGTTGTAATCTTTACTTAGGCAGTTGACCCAATTGTGGTCATTCTGCAAAGGTTACAGGAGCAAAGTTTACTTTTCATATGGTTTCTTCACATGGGAATTATATATAGAAACTACAATTTTGTCAAATTAGCCACAGCACTGAATGAGTACATGAGAAAGTACCAGTGTAAGGAAAAAAATCCTTTCTGGCCTAATATTTTATGCTATTTTTAAATGGGTGATTAGGCAGAAAAAAATCTAAAATCATCTTAAATGTTCCAGTGCATGATTATAGGCTGAGATGCATCAAAAATGAATTTAACTCCAGGGGCTTCAACGGACTTTGACTGGACTTGAAGTTGTACCTCTGTACATATGTTAATATTTTCAAATAAACAGGAGGAACATGTGAGGATACAGCCAAGGAAAAAAAAGAAAAGAAACATCCTTCTCCCAAAATATATGCTTTTATATCTCTTATTTCAGCCATGATCCAACCTCTCTAATTATGAATTTCTATCTTAATCACTGTCTTAATTTCTCATATAACAATAATCCTTGAATGGTCCTCTGTTTAAAAAAAAAAGCATCAGTCAAAAACAGCTGCACTTCTGCATACTACCAAGGTTACTCTCTTCATGCTTCCGAAATTCTTTAGAAATTGATAATCTGGACCTGGTCTAGAGGTCTGTTTTATCAGAAAGCTATGAAACATGAGCTAAACATAACCAGTCCTCCTGGGAGTGTGATTACAGCAATAAATTTCTATGTTCCACAACAGATGGTTATGCCACATGAAGAAAGTAAAACCTATCAAGTGCTGTAAAATGAGAAGAAAAAAGAAATTTCTGCTCCCACATCAAATTAAGTGCCTTTTAGTTTGCTGTTGTACATGTGGTATCGTAGACGTTCTATATCAGCACCATGACATCGGTTTTAGTCTCCTCCGTCTCAGACTGGTTGTTATAAATCAGTCCAGGCTGTAAGTAACGTTGAAAGAGCTAAATGTTCAGAATTTGTGTCTGTCTTTTTTATTAGCTAGCCTAGAGTAAACTGGGGGCTATCGTTCAATGTCAGGTTCAATGCCCAATGACCCAATAGGTTAAAAACATGGCAGTCACAAATCAAGGGCATAATGAAGTCTGAGAAGTGGTCTATGCTGATTTATTAGAACATCTGTTTGACTACACAAAATCTAGTACTTCCCTTGAATATCATGAGCTAGTCCCATAATCCTCCACATATCAGAGATTCCCTTTTTTAAAATCTAGTAATTTAAAATAGTCTATCCAAACCAAAGGGCTTTTTTTCATATGACTCATTGCCAGACTGATGTTTTTACCTAGGTATCTCAATGGCCTGCAAATGGGACACCTTTATCTCTCTGTAAAAAATAACAAAAAAGAAATGCTGACTTTAATTTTGAAAAAAACCACTCACTTTAAAACATTGCTGTGTCAATTCACAATTCAATAAAATCCTACTCTCTGCTGGTTCTCAAGGAGATTTTAATTTGCTTTACTCATTTCTATTTTTTCACTATATCATTATTCACTATAGTGCTTCTATTATCCTTCATTAGGATTCAAATGCTGTTTACTGAATACTGTAATATTGCATATAAACCTCCGTTCTTTTACTATAATCATTCAATTTTTAAAGGACAGGAATGTTCATCAGACATATATCAAACAATGTGCAAAGTCACCCACTGAACGAGCTTTAGTTAAATCGCCCCCACTACTATTTGGAAGCATGGAGACACGGATATGAGGTACAGAGGCTGGCTGGAGCACGCTAATTAGCATGCCCTGGCACGCTGCAATTATAGTGCGTTGGAGCAACCTCCCAGCACATCTACAGACATAGTATTTCATCCTAAAAATGTTTTCTCCGTGTGCATCAGCAATTTGATTGGATGTTTTACTTGGATCGTTTGCTGATGCGTTACTAGTGATGCCAGACTAGTAACGCCCATCCTCATTATGTGGGCCAAATTACATCTCTCTAAATCTATTCAAATGTTATTCACAAAAGGAACAACTAGTGACCTGATGACATAAATGTTTCTGGTACTATACTATTTTTCCCGAAGCAGTGCTCTATAGAGGTTGCTCTAAGTGAGCCAGGAGTGCCCATGAGGTTTGTATATACAAATCAGGTATTGACCTTGTGTAGTAAGAGAGGATAATGTGAAAAGTACTTACTGGACAATCAGTACTCCTTTCATTTCACTGAAGCAGGATTGCTAGAAGCAGCTAAGTTAGGCTTTAAAACTGAATTTCCTATGCTGCCCAAATTATTACCATTTTGGGGGCAGTTATGTGTGTCCTTTTACATAACATTGAAGGAGACACAGATAATTAAAGATACTAAAAGCTTTCATAAATCTACTCCAATAAAGCTGCCTATATTTCAAAATAGAGTTAGCACAGCGTGTTTAAAAAACATAGAGCTTTCGTACACTGCAAATTATGATCTATCAAAGAATCTCTCTAGCCAAAGCTGTAATTTAGAGAGACAACTGTCTGTGTTGTGCGTGGCTGAGTTATTTCATTGGGTTAAAGTTCAATACTCCATAGGCCACATCTCAGAAGAGGTTCAGATTAGATACCTGTCCATTTTACCTGACATGTGGAGTCAAAACTATGGACTGTTACATTCATTTAAAAATAATATCAATTGTACTTGCCTCCATAGGTTCCAACGTTGCTCTTCTAGCTGAGTCACTAAATGCTCTATGTATTTATTTGAGTCCATATATTCCTAAAAGAAAGGATCAAAATGTTTGATTGGCATATATTTTGTAACCTTTCTAAAATGTTGATTTACTGACACAGTTTGTGAGGGTCACGTTCATTTTGGGGCCAGTGGAATCCTTACGCACAAAATTCACGGCAACAGAAAAAATACAGTTTTTTAATGTAGGCTTGTACGTGCACCCGAGGGTTCTTATATAAATCCCTTGCCCTGTACAGACGTTACTAGGGAAACTCTGGGCAAGATGCATGACTGTCATCGGTATCTACACCAGTGGTTCTCAACCTTTTTCGACTCAAAGCATCCCTCATTAGACTCAAGGCTCCTACCATAACATTTGTGAACTGAGTGGCACCCCATTTCAAAAACTCATTTGTTTAGTATAGTACTTACCTCTTGCAGAGGGGCCAGGCAGTGGGGGCAGAGGAGAGGCTAAACAGGGGAGCTTGAGCCTGCCCTTCTCTGCTCATCTCTTCACACCCAGAGCCTGAGCCTGCCCTTATCTGTGGATCTTCTCACATCTCCCTTATCTCCTCACATTTCCCGTGGTGCCCTTCAAAGGATGGCAAGGCACCCTGGTTGAGAATCACTGATTGACACAATATACCTAGAATTTTCCTCCACCGATCCCCTGATACAGAAAGCCTGCAGAACAGCCTCTCTGTAGGTTTTGGGTGAGAGTTCGACTTGGGATGGACCAATTTTCCCTACAGATCTCAAGATTTATGGGATGAGTTTATGTACACTAGGCAACCAGACTGTCTCAAAATGCTTATTTGTTAATGCCATGTGAGTTTGAAAAAATGTTACCACAAAAACTATATTTGAATATTGAGCTATAATTTAGTTCCTAGCTCATTGCACTTCTCCCAATGCAATAACTTTGTGATATTACTGGGCATATGAAAGCTACTGCATTTGTAGACAGTAACAAAAATATAACAAATAAACATACATAATACGCAATAAAATGTATCAGTATCATCACTAAAATGATGATTGTTTTCCTCTTGCTAAAATAATGCTGTCTGTTCTTTAAATAAATGACTATTTTCACTACAGAAACACTTTAGCAATAGAAAAATAACTTCATTTTCAGAATGAAAATAACTCCAGGGTGGTATTTATATGAAATATTTCAGAAAGATTCCACAAAATAGCATATAGCATAATATACTGCATTCCCATGGCTACGGAATCTGTACAACCACATTAATTAAACCAACAAACTATCAATAATAATATAACTCCTTCAAATAATAAAAAGAGAAAATGTGTCAAACTTTATACCATGAAAATAATAGATGTTAACATAACACCAGGAGAAAAATTCTATGATAGGTTCCCGGAGATAAATGTTCTTCCTTAATGGTTTATGGATTCACCAGAATGCCCCTGGATGAGATCATATCCTCATTTACTATGGGTGGCTGTATAACATTATTATTTACATTGTGTACATGTATGCATGTTTATTGCATAGTGGCTTGTCTTATTTTACCCATTTATCTTCATGGTACAGGAATGGAAGGTAGTATTACCAGAGGGACAGTACATCACCCTTCTTTCCACAAGGTGAAGATAAATGTCATAATAGCTCAGCCATCATACTTTATGTATACAATGTACATTTTTATTTTTCAGGACTGAAATTGTTCTAAGTGACAGTGCAACATTATAAAAGCTTAGACTAAGAATAGAACTTCTTCTGGAATACTGCTAAACTTTTAAGAACTTGTGGGTTTTGATAACAAAAAGAATAAGTAAAGAGAGATATTTAGCCATATGATACTAGCCATAGATTCCTAAAACAAGGCCATCCTTTCTTTTAGGAATATATGGACTCAATTAAATATATAGAGCTTTTAGTGACTCAGCTAGAAGAGCAACATGGGAACCTATGGAGGCAAGTACAATTTAGTCTGAAGTCAGGCAGAAGGCAGGCCAGGGTGGCACCTTCTCGACCAGTGGTTCCCAACCTTCTTTTGCTATGACCCTAAATTGGCCACCAACAACCTCCCAACCCAGCACCGCAGGGGCTGCTGGGAACGGAGTGTGGTGGCAGCGATGGCAGCGGCCTGTGGGCAGGGCTGGGGGAACCGCCATTGCCCCCTTTGTGTACACTGGCCCCACCCCACCCACCTCTCCTGCGCCACGCACATGTGTGCACGTGTGTGTAGACACTTTACAACCCTACTGAGGACCCCCACGACCCTGATTTGGGTCGCGCCTCAAGGTTGAGAAACCAATGTTCTAGACCAACTTGTTCAGATGGCCATGAGCTTTTGTAAGCTACAGCTAAATTAAGCTAGAAAAAGTTAGATAAATGATCTATGATGCTATGAGATACAGAATACTGGTCTAGCTGGATATTTAGTCTCAGCTCATATGACATCTCTCATGTTCTTATATTCACTATATTCATAGACACAAAATGGAGCACTATTCTAACAAAAAGATAAGTATTTCATGATTACTAATCATACTAGTGGCATTCTCTTCACTAGATACTAGTGGTATTCTCTTCTGTCCTACTGGTATTCTTTCCTGTCCTACCAGTGAGCGGACGCGGAAGACGGCATGAGAACTGCATTAGAGAGACCAATTGGCAGCTTCGGCAATGGTGTCTCGAGGCAGGCTTCGGATTCCTGGACAATGACTTGCACATCATGATGAGGGACATGCTCAGTTGGGATGGGCTTCACCTGTCCCCCAAAGGTAAGCGTGTGTTCTCTTCTAGGTTGGCGGATCTCCTCTGGCGGGCTTTAAACTAGACTCGTTGGGGGGTGGGGAAGATGAGGGCGGGGGAAGCTGTGGACCACCAAACCATGTGGCACCCACAAGGACAGCCCAGCCTGAAAAAGGAGAACATTGGGAACCTGCAATCCATGGGGCGGACAGCAATACAGCACAGGTAAGCAATAAGCAGGTAAGCAATAAGGGGCCCTTTGGGAATCGGAGCGGGGGGGCAAAAAAGGCACCAGTCACAGGGCTCAAGTGCCTATATACTAATGCTAGGAGCATGGGGAACAAGCAGGATGAACTAGCACTCCTGCTTGCAGAAAACACCTACAACTTAGTAGGGCTATCTGAAATCTGGTGGGATTCTTCCCATGACTGGGCGGTACATACTGAGGGTTATAGGCTGTACAGAAAGGACAGGGTGGGGAAGAAAGGGGGAGGGGTTGCGCTCTATGTCAAT